AATGAATTTTAACATGATTTTTGCATCAGTCGATAGCTAAGAGTCAGATCTATCTACCTGTGCAAAACCGTTTTTGTCTGATTAAAAATGACTTAGCTATGAGCAAAATACTGAAAAGATTTCTGACATTGACCGGAATTACCCCGAGACACTCTATTAAAATTCAGGCAGATTTTAAATCAGCGTAGGCTAACTTAAAATTTTAGTATAGGCTAGGCTATGTTAAAATTCAGATGTCTGAATAGCTCGATTTTAAATTAGCTTAGGCCAATTTAAAATCGAGCAATGAAACATGGATTTATGACAAAGAATAAAGTGAGTGCAATAAAAAATTATGCCGCTATAATGATCTGATGTAGACAGACAAGGCATAATAGAGGATTATCTTTGAACAATTTAAGTTATTCAAAACGATAACACGAACTAAGCAAAATTATTTGTGTATAAAGTAGAAGTACGTCAAATATACTTCTATTAAGATTAGCGAGTGGTGCCTTGTCTTTCTACATCAGATCATTAAGCGGCATAATTTTTTATTGCACTCACTTTATTCTTTGTCGTTTTTTTTCGTTTTGATATTCTAAACATTTCAAATAACTGGCAATTTCTTTAGAAACATTTTTGTTTTTCATCGTAATAGTAACCAATACATTCATAAAGACTGCCAATGTTTTTTAATTTTTGTGTTCTTTTTGGTGAAAATGAATTGATTTCATGTAATAATCAATCAAATAGTTCATGTTAAATCAAATAGTTTTATTTCCGCATGACAAACTTCTAAACTGCCGTAGATAAAAGCTATAATAGATGTCAATCAAGTTTTAGAGTCGTTTGTGTTTTGTGTTTTACCCAATACATTGGCGCTGTTTAGTGTCTTGGGAGCATTCCGGACAGAAGGACAGATATGTCTGGGCTATTCTTATGTATATAATTTTATCTCTCGATTCGTGTGAAAAAGCGACGGCCTTGCTGCCCAGTGGTGGAAGTGCCAGTGTTGCCAGTTGAGCCGTTACATTGATCTAATTTTAGTCCGGTTGCTTCTTCCAACTTTTTCAGAAAAGCATCCTTTGCTTTTTTCAAGTTATCTTGGTTTGCAACACCTCTTACAGCCCATGTGGAAAACTTGGCGTTTATTCTATATATTATATTCAGAAACCAAGTAGTACTGTCGATATAATTATGCGTTAGTGTGAGGTAGTGATGATTACTTTGAGAAAGAGGTTCAGTCGTAAGTCCTGCTCTAGTATCGTAGTAGTTTGGCTTCTTAATTATAGTGCCATCATTTTCTGTAAGTTCATTCCAAAGTTGAATCGTCTGATCAGCAGAACGTGTTATTTTAAAATAGTCTTGATCGTGGAGTTTTACTGCATCGTGCCACTCGTCTTGCGTCCTATAGCACATTAGGCAGCGCGCTCCACCAAGACCACTTTTCGTCATTCTAACTTTCATATCTTTCATACTATCTTCGATTTTGATTTGTATTTTATAAATAATTCCTTTGATGTTAAGCTGGACTCCTTCATTCTGCAGTGCTTGTTCTTGTGGTTCGAATTCAGAGTTAATGAATTTTATTAGATCGAAACTCTCCTTTTCGGTAATCAAGGCCAAGGGATGGGAACACCAAGAACTATTGGGGCTCTCGTTATTCCAGACAGTTTCGTTCGTAACTATGTCTTTCAAACTTAGATCTACATTCATTTTTGAAAATAGGTTTGGATCAAACATAGGATTAATTTTACTACGATATAATGCTATTCCACCCGCACCATCGTGTCCGGTTTTCACACGAAAAAGAAGAGCAGTTGGAAGATTCGGTTGTTCGTAAGTTAAAGTTTCAATTAATCGAAGAAGTGTTAACTCTGTTACCTGCCTTAAACTTGTTACAATGGTTCCTTTCTCGTTTCTACAACTTTTTAAGGATGGTAAAAATTTTGCTGTATGTTCACGTATAAGATTTCTGTTCGATATCTTTATAGAGTCATTGAAAAAACCTCCTAAAAAGTCCAAATCGTTTCTACTTCAGTTAATCTGTGTTTTAAGTGCGATCGTCCGATCAAGCTCTAACTTCGTACATTCAGGTGGTTGGATATCGCCAGTTTGAAATAATTCATCGCCGAGTTTTGCAAGGTATGTAGGCTGTCTGTCGCTAGAGACTCAGAAAACAGATACTCCGTCTCTCCGCAGTAGGCGAAGGCGAAAATCCCGATCTACAAAGGATCAGAGCGCTACACTAAAATCACTCACCACGTTGTTTGAAACGTGGCAGACACGAGGCGAGAAACGCGATGTGTACGCACGACGACAAAAATGAGAAACGAATGAAAAAAAGAGCATAAATGAATGAATGAAAGCAAATGAGAGAAGATGAGTGATGTCAGTAGTGATTAGCGGCATCTATAAAGTATGACGCTAACACCCCACCCGCTGGCTAAGATGTGTCATCCATCTAGCTCCTGCCACCGCTAAAGCGTAGGCGAGAATGATGAACGCACACCCTGACAGAGAGGAGAGAGGTTAGAAAAAGTAACAACATTATGTTTCATAACTTTAAAACAAATAAATGGATTATATAATGAAAGCTCACTGTCATTTATGAATGGGATTCATTATGTGTCCAATGTCGCAAATTGTTCTCATCAAAAGCGGTAATGGGTAGAATATTGTTTGCATGATCGGCCTCTGCTTGAGTTTTGAATCGAAGGTGTAATTGGCCTTGAAGTGGAAACGGGGTATGATAATAGTTGACATTGTAAGAATCTAAGACAGTTTTTATTAATGTCATTGACCAGCTGGGACAAATTGCTCGAGATATTTGATGTTGCAATAAATGATGATATTGTCGTTGATGTCGTGCTTGATTCCGTTTATTTTCGGATTCCTTTGAACGTAAACCACGCTTTGATGATTTCTGATGGTCTTGCTGTTGGTCGTGAGGTTCGGCAATTACGGATTGTATTTCAGGTGGTGGTGGTACTGATATGAAACGATTAAAATAATCAAAAATTCCAGCTTTAATTTTATCGTGAGCATCATGGTGTACGTGTATACGGTCATTGGCCAATTCATGTTGTCCAATACGAATATCTAATATGGAAAATTTCATTGTCTGCTCTAATGAAATAAGTAAATTATTATACGATTCAATATTCTGCTCTAATGATGTAGTAGTAGGAAACTTTTGTGTAGTTTTTGCACAGGAGAAGGATGGAATGATGGCAATATTTTGTTCGTCTTCAAGTTGTTGATGATTGTTACGAATGTGAGTTATGAGTTGTTCAACTTGTTGGATAACATCTGTTGATTTGGTCAATCTTATTGAATTTGTACCGATCAATAAGACTAATGCTGTTGCTCTGGACAGGAAAGATGAAATGGTTGGTGTATGAATTAGGTGAACAAGTGAAAGATGAGGCTCATAGTTATCGATCCACTTTAATCCAGAAACGGCTGTAATGATAACATGGTGGTTGGTAGTCGTCATTTCAGTGGTCGTTTGGGATAGTAACTGTTTATTAAGACATTTGCCGTGGCTGTCGGACAGAACGAAGAAGGTTGGCAATTGGTGTTGGGATGAATCATTGATAACGAGTGGTAATTCATTGATAGTATTGTTGCCATTAGCTATTGGGAAGGATGACGACGGTGATGGTAATGCTTGTGATGGACCTAAGACAGATTGAACGGTTAGTATAGCTTCAGCTGACTTACGCAAGATATAAAAGTAGAGTTTCGTTGGTGCCAGCACGTCATTAACTGCATATTTAATCATATTTTCTATAATAACTTGTTTTTCAGCTGTTAAATGATGATGTAAGGCTTTATCTAATCCACATGTCCACGCATTTTGTGTTAATTCTTTATCTAATGCACAATTGAAGGTGAATTTAAGCGCCTTCTGTAATGACCAATTGGAACTACTATTACTTTTATATGGTCTGTACTCTTTTGGACATATACATGATACATAGTCAGCATGTTTATCATCAACGTATTCATCCTCCACATTCATTTCAGTAACGTGACAAATCAATTCCAATGCGTCTCTATTGGAAGAAGCATTAATTTCTTGTTTTTGATGACTGCACTGAAGAATATGTGGATGGCGTTGGTTCCAAAAGTTAGTGAAGAAGGTTTGTAAATTGATCGGATTGGTGACGTTTGATAGGTCAAACAATCGTGTTGAGGTGAAAGGTGAAAGTTCGTTCATGAGATTACCCCAAGTCATTATCGTACTATGCTTTGAAAAAATATGATCACATAACTGATGAATAAACTTAAATTCAATTGTTGAGTGATGAGGTAGATGTTGTATTTCTATGATAAGGACAACAGCTTTATGTTCATTTTCAATACATTGTATCTGAATAAGGGCTGGTATTGATGGTTGACGATATACTGATTCAGATTCTGTGTCAATCATAAACAAATGAATATCAGATATTGCAGTAATTGAAGATTTAAGAATATCTGGAGATGTATAGCGATGCAAATGAATTGGTTTGCCATAATCCACGTCAGACGCACTAAATGGAGGTGTATTAGCAATTAATTCATGATTTGCATTAGCTTTTTGGCCTGCATTAAGCCACTTTTTCTTTTGTTTATCGGTGAGTTGCGGAGGGCAATTCTCAGGTTTTCGATCTAAAAGATGTTGATGTGGACGTAGTTTGGGTCGTGAACGGTAACGATCAGATGAAGATGATTGATGACGATGAGGGGATTCATGTCGACTGTTGTCATGCCATCCAGTTATGCTACTGCCAGCCGAGTTAATCGACGGCAACAAAACTGAGCGTTGTGAATCTTGTTGACGACTATCCGACGAATAAGAATGATGATGATGGACGTGAAGGGGATGAGAGGACGACGAACGTTGATTCGAACTGAAGGGGGAACTTGACAATAATGGATAAGAAGTCATAGGTTGAGGAAACGACAACGATAAAGAAGATTGGTCTTGTTGTGGAGATGAAGCAGAATACTGCGGATAACTAGGCATAATTTATTAATAACTAAAAAATCAAGGTTAAGCTAAGTTTCAGCTAACCGTCGCGATCGGCAGGAAAAATTGTAAGTCATTCTAGAGGGGCATTGTTTTTTCAGAACTCAACAGTTATGACTAATCCGCTCTCGGCTACCAATGTTATGCTCGACGTCTCGAGGTATTACATCGGCTCTGGAATGGAGACTGTGATTTCATCAACGAGCCTTGTACTTCAGCTGGAAGGTTCGAAAACAGTCTGTATGATGTCATGGACTAAAGATTACGGTTAGAATGGAGAAATGATTGAACATAATGCTTATGAATGATGCTTATCAATTGTACTTAGTTAAATAAGAATTGCTGCTTTAATTAAAATATTGTTGAAATAATTACGGGTCTTAGATCTCCGACATGTACCCGTGATTCTATATTTGTTTCTTCATCTTTAAGAATATAAGTAGGATGATTGCATTGTACGATAACTTTGGGTGTAGTTAAAAATTTTGTATCAAGTTTTCCCCGTAGCCCAAATATTCGTGTTAAGACTAAATCACCGACCTTATATATTGGATCTTGTCTATTTGTATCATACCGAAGTTTATTTAATTGTTGCTGGCGTATGATATTCTCTTTCGCCGATTTATGATATATCTTTAGAGTTTTCTGGAGTTGTTCAAAGTAATCATTAGGCTTGAGAAATGAGAAATGGATTGGCCGTGAATTTATTGGTAATCGTGGTTGGCGTCCATAAAGCAACTGATGGGGAGAAAATTGTGTAGTTTTATGAACGCCTGAATTATATGCAAATACTACTGCTTGTAGGTACTCGTCCCAATTGTTATGTTGTGTATCCTGTAATTTTGATATTTGAGGGACGAATGTGCTGTTAAATTTTTCGACGACCCCATTAGTCTGAGGATGGTATGGTGTGGAGTATATAGGGTGATAACCAATTATTTTTGAATGTTTTCCATTAAAATGTTTTGAAAATGTGGACCTTGATCGCTAATAATAACTGCTGGAATTCCATATTTACAGAAGTAATCATTGAATAGTGCTTGTGCTGTCGTTTGAGCACTGCAGTCAGGTAGGGCTATCGCTGTTATGTGTCGAGTGAAGTAGTCAGTTATAACAAGTACGTACTGATTTTCACGCGGTGTCCTTTTGAAGGGACCACAATAGTCGATGCCGACTAACATGAAAGGTCCGTCGTGGGGTGGGATTGGTCGAAGATGGCCGTGTTTTTTATAACGACTTATATTGTATTGCTGACATAATAGACAAGATTGTATATGCTTCTTAATAGTATGTTTCATGTTTGGCCACCAATAATGAGTTCGAATTTTATTATATGTTCTATTAGTAGAAAAGTGTCCTCCGATCATTGGATCATCATGACAAGCATGAAGAAGCGGTTTTATCATGAATGATGATAAATAAACTACCGGAACGTTGGTTTTTGAAAAACGTGATGGTGTGATAAGTTTATAGAGAAGACCATCTTTGCATGTGAATGTTGGATTACCCGGATTTTCTTTGAGTTGCTGTATTATGTGTTGTATATGGGAATCTTTCTGTTGCTCCTCTTTCAGTTTCGTGACATCAAAATGATTAGACGAGAAATTTAATGGTATGGGTGAAGTAGACGGTGTATCTTTATCGGATTCAGAGTTAAAGTCATTATTATTTAGTGCATCTTCGTTATCTGGGATTGTTGTTACTTGAACTGTTTGATTCTTATTCTTACGTGATCTTAAAGTCATTGCTGCTACTAATCGTGGTTTATTGGAACGTAGCAAAGAGACTTGTGCTCCTTCAGCCGGAAATTCTGGCTGCAAGAAATTCTCTTTACTAGCAATGCCATAATCAATATCATATAATTCGTCATCCTGTTCTCTTGGATGCCTGGATAAATAATCTGGTAAACAATTTTCCCGACCCTTAATGTGAATTACTTGTTCAATATTATATTCTTGTATTAAAGTAGCAATTCTATCTACTCTTACATTTCTTACAGTTTTATGCATGATGTTGCATAATGGACAGTGGTCTGTCATAAGGATGATGCTTCTGCCTAACAGAAATGGTCGCATTCTTGCAAAACATTTATATATAGCAAGTGCTTCTTTTTCAATAGTGCTATATTTTTTTTCACAAGGTGTCATCAATTGTGAGTGATAATATAAATTACGTAATTGACCATCTACTTTTTGTTGTAAAACACCTCCGACTCCGATACCACTTGCGTCGGTTGTGAGTATTAATGGTTTATGGTCGACGGGAAAATGAAGAAATAATGGTGCAGAAGTTAGCATGCATTTTAGATCATTAAAAGCT